AATCATAAAAGCCAAAACAAAACAAAAATGTATGTCAATGCCAAACAAGAAAATGGCAGTGAAGCTGCAGTTCATCTGGGTGACTTTAACATAACAGAACTGCATACATAGAAGGTAGACAAAATGAGGTGTCTGAATGTGGACAAAACTGAAATTAAAATCAAACAGTATACTGACTAAAAGGGAGAATGCAAAATGCAAGCAGCCAACTGGTAGGAAACATTGGCTGTAGCAGATGTGATTGCCATTGGTTCTAAACGCATGATAAATTAAAGCCAGCGTCTGCTCTCACAGAGATGGCCTCAGCCATCTTAAAAGAAAGGTTAGTTTGGAAATCAAAACTTTAGAAAAGTATAAAGGCAGGGTTTGGGAGAGGTCGAGAAACCCGATGTCTGATAACCATGGGCAAAGGTTCACAGTCCTGGATGGTCATTCTGCAGCTCTGAATGAGTGGTGTTACATTTCACAGGAGATGGTGAAGATCCTGCACGTAGGAGTCAACAAAACCTTTTAAGGATGTGCATGCAAGATTCAATTACTTGACTTCTTTCTAGACAATCAAAGCTGAGCAAGCAGTAAAGTAGATGCTGGTGACAAATTCTGAGAATAGGAAAGCAAAGTCCCAAAGATTTCCAAATAATGGCAAGCATTTAACTCCTGAGCAGGACTTACACAAAGAAAACCAAAGTGATTACAACAGCAGGCATCATAAAATACTGGGACCTAGTAAAAGGAAAGAAGTAAGAATGAGTAACTCGGTCAAAAAATTCAATCGTATAGTTACCAAGGCTGGATGTAATTTCAGAAAACTGAGGAAAACTACTTCCAAAATGATGAAGGGATTACAAATTGTAAAATAGGTGGTAGGAACTATCATCAGAGAAATCATAAACAGAAAAGAAACTGTGTCATCTAATCAGAGTGCTGAGAGCTAAGGAATAAAAAATGAAGTGGAAGAAACATGCCTGTCTGGGACTCCTTAAAACTGTTCCTAGCCACTGAGTGAGTATTAAGATTAATCAGAACTACCTAACAGCAGGAAAATGTTACAGTAGAAGAGGTAGAGTGACCCAAAATGTCAGGATTTGGTATCATGATCTTCCCATCGCACCATCAGATATATAGTACCGGCTATCTAAATTTATTTTAATAAATAGTATGCTGAAATAACTGCTTAAAAGACAGTTACAGCAAACTTGGTTTAGGATCATAAATTCTGAAAAGAATTAATGTGCATATCTAAGAGTTTACTTCTTGGTTTGGGACTTGTGGTGAAACATTAAGTTCAATTTTATTTGAACTGATTTAACCACCCTTATCTAAGCAATAAAACTATGGTTTTGAATACCCATCTACCTTATCTCTAGAATATTGTACAGATTTAAAGCAAAGATCAGTTGCTAAAGCAACAAGTCAAAAGTGAGAAGCTAGATGTCTTTGTTTAGTGAGGATCTATAATAAACTTAGGTAATTACTTCTCATTTTAATTTCACTGTAGTAGTTTAAACTATAACAATGTAGAACTTGAATTTGAAGTGACTATAGTTTAGTGCTCTATAGTGTGGAGCAAGGAAATTTTTAGTTGATGAGTCAATGAAACCAAAATGAAAACTAGAGTCTAATTATACATGAAGTCTCCGAGGGCTATGAGAAATTAGGAAATAGGGAGCTTTTGGTAAATATTTTGGTTTTGTGACACTTCACATTGTGACTGGCCATTGGCTCTATCAAGCACATAACAAATCTGTAAGAGAGACTGTGTCTTTGTGGAGATTGCTCAACCTTCAGTAACAACTGAAGTTCTTGCAAGCAGATGGCTGGGGGGCTGTAAGAAAACAGTTTGGTTTTACATCAGTCTCACAGTGGATAAAGCCCCACGCTGTAATGAGTACTAATTAATAACCTTTCAGAGAACTGTGACAAAGAACCATGGATTGAATGCATGTGGAAAAATTAGCTATTCGTGCTCAAAAAGCTGAGTTTTCAAATCAGGGTTTTCGTATGTAGTGGAACAAGATTCGATTTTTCATCCATCTTCTCTTTTTCTAGCCCGTGAAACAGTCCTTAGGGAGCAGTTTTAGTTGAGATGTTTCTAGGAAAGCAGTTTTCCAATGTGCTGGCTTTCTAAGGACTGAATCAGAAAAGTAGTGCAGAGCGACCAGAGAGAGCACTGACACTTCTCCTGCTACTTCACTTGGACATCCCAGCTCTACCACTATGGTTCTACTTCTTGGGATGCTTATGGGGTATCTGGAAAACAGGCATGTATTCTGAAGTATCTGTGCTGCTTTTGGGAAGGCTGTGCAAGAACTGCGGCGGACAGACTACTATTATTTGCTTCTCCCAGCATATTGCCACGTCCCCTGCACGAACATAATCCATGCAATTTAGCCCTTACAATTTAGAAATGATGGCTTTATGAAAAATTGGTGTAATACTTCCATTAAAGTAGGGAAATGTCTTATTAAACCTCTGACGCTAACAACTTGATCACAGGGGTACAGGATGCAAGTTATAATGACAAAATTGGCTAGCTAGTGTAATGTAGCTGAGTGTAGATTATTACAGGATTTGTACAAAAGGGAATTTGTTGCTGACTTTTTATTTTATTTTATTTTATTTTATATTGATAGTAAATATCTTTGTTTTGCTCTGTTGGGTTGACGTATAAAATCTTCTTGTCATTGGCAAGTACTTTTTGCCAATATAGGGGTTGATGAATTTTCAATGATAAATCAGTGACACAAAGTTCTTTCCCATTTTTGTTGACTGAGAGTTGCTGTTTAAATATTAAGTAAAATTTCGTTTACTCTCTCACCAACATAGATAATATCTGAAAAGATTATTATCCCAGAGGGTAGAAACTATATGTTAATCTCTCCATGCAACAGTCACCACCTTGAGTCTGTATTTCAAAAGACAAAACCAAACTAAAACATGTAAGCATGATGCTAATGTTCTGTTCTTGTGTAAGGTCTCCTACTGTCCTCCTAGTAGGCATTTTCTGTTATTTTCATCATTCTCCTCATAAAATTATAAATGCTATTACACAATAAATATTAGAAATGTTATCCCAAATAAAATTAGCTGAAAAGATATTAGAATTAAACAAAAGAAATATTGTTCCTACCATATTTGCTTCTGGAATTGAAAAGTGAAGATGAAATAGGGGATAGAAAGACTGGGAATTTTCCCTTGAGTTTCAACCCATTTGGGGTTGAAAATAAATTTTATTTTTAAATAAAATTTTCTTAAGTAATGATCTTCAAATCATGGACTCGTAGTGTTTGCAGCTTATTTATATAGCCACACAGTAAAAATGGTTGGCCAGCATTGTAATTTAATGACAGTTTTGCCCATGAGAACTGCAAGATCTTACTCCATCAATAAAATCAGAGTTATTGTAATATATAAATGACAGTCTGAATCTATCTGTATCAAAGAAATCCATGGCATTAGGGAAAAAAAGAAAAAAAAATGTTTTGGTCTGGAATTGGAACTGATAAAACAGCGGCACCCTAAATAACATTTAAGAATTGCTCTGGACAGAGATTCCTTTGATATATGGGTAATTTCAGCTGCTTACCCTTAGATTAAAAATATTAGTAGTGGTGTTCTCAGAAGTCAATAGCAGATACTTGAATAATCCTCACAGATGTTAGTACTTTTAAATAGGAGAAGTACTGTCATTCCTACAAAATAAACACATAGTAGGATGGAAATTTAAAAATCCCTCCAAGATGTTAAGCGTAAACACAAGCTCTTGCATTAAGGACACGGAGAACTACAGTGAGAAATGAAAAAGCTGGGTAAAGAAGACAGATTGTAAATTATGAAGAAAAGGGGAGTTGGTAAGTCTGTCATTTAACCCTGAGGATAAATGTCCTAAATGATGAGACAGGAATGTACATCTGGCAAAAACTACTCAAAGAGAGTGTAAAGAGGGGACGAGATGTGAAAACTAAGGCAGGAATTTTGAGCTGTCTTCAGATTCAAGTCAAATAACATCTCTGAAGTTTGTAACAGGGATATGGCCTCTAAAAAAACTAAAGTCGTTAAACAAAAGACAAGACATTAAGTTCAGTGATCAAACTGGAAGTCATAAAAACCAAACCAGAAACCAAGAGCGAACATCCGATGGTAGTTCAACCAATGGAACAGAAAAGGAGACGTGGCAAATCCTTCATTATCTTGAATTCTTAAATCATGATGTAATGTGCTCGTTTGTTCCGAGTTTCTGGGCTGTGGGTGCTGACCCTGCCCTTTCCCCAGTGTCAGAGAATGCAATCAGGGATTTGCGAAGCGTTGAAAATCTACTGCACTCTTCCCTACCCTCTGCACACCCTTAGTCTTCAAGGTCAAGTGCCTTCCATCAGCCTCTCAGAGCTCTCCCAGATTATATAGGTAGTTACTGTCACCAATAATTCTTAAATTATTTTATAATAAATTGTGAAAATCTGACTTAATTGAGAAACTTAACCTTAAAAACTCTGAAAGGGCTCATCTAGTTCTGGCCACTGTATTTAGTGAAACAAATACATCATGATATAGATTAGCTGATAAAAGTCTGTGCTGTTACTGGCTGTGACTGTATGTTTTAAGTAAATGAAGCGTAGAACTATTTTCATGAGGGATAAAAACTTAATGTTCAGTTAGGAACGTTATTTTGAACTTGGTCGTTTCTGTAGTGTGTTATTGCTTCTGCCCTGAACAAGCTTTGTGGGTACTGACTGCATTTGCTGCTTTTGTCTTTGCTTCTGCTTTGGACAGCAAGTTGTATTTCTTGTGCTGTTTGGATTACTTTTGTATTAAGATACTGACACTGAAGTCATGCTGTAGGTACCACTTCAAAGCCATTCGTTAGAGATTCAAATAGTCGTTTATTTAAAAAAACCCCTCAAATTCACCAATGTATGCATCATATAGTCTTAAGCTGTGTATGTAGCAGGCCTTATAAAGTTTAAATATTGTATCTTAATCCAGACAGTGAAAACTTGTAATTACATTGTGTATCCTGGAAGTTTGTTTATTACAAGTTCACTGATGTCTCTGTATTGATTAGGAATACATAGTTTTCCCAGAAAATCATCCTCTTTGTCTGATACACTGTTTTCCAGGACACTAAGTTCAAGACCAGGCATGTTAGATGGCAAGCAAGAGCTCACTTGTGCTACTGACTGGCTTTTTTCTGCAGAGGTCTGCCCCTTTCCTATATTCAGATCAGTATCGGAGCTAAGTTGTTTGCTTCTCAGTGTAGGTATTTGTTTAATATGCTGATCACCCCAGTTCTCTTCCATACTGATCTGCTGGGCTTCCTGCTCTTCATCTAAAAACCTTGCCCGAATGAACGCATCATTAAGTGAATCAACAGATTCACCACTAGTTCGCTTGCTGGTTTTTAAGTCATGGTTTCTCTTCAAAGACTGGACTGGAGATGCAGCTGAAGGAACTGGCAGAAGATCTGAAGTACTTTCAGCTCTTTGACTTGTCTTTGAAATTCTGGACCTGCTAGATTCTGGCTCTGAATCTGACCAACCTCGCTTTGGGCTTTTAAGCCACAGAGGTTCAGGACTGGTCTCAAGAGCTTCTGAGTCTCTGCCCGTACACTCAGCACTGGTGAAATCTTCTGAATAAACTGTGCTCTCAGGACTAGCAACGAAGTCATCTGAGTAGATAAATTCAGAGTTGGTTTCAACACTCCTGCTGGGGCTTGGTTTGTGATCACTTACAACAGACGTATCATCATGCTCCATGGTTTTATGATGGATCAAGTGCATTGCTTCCTCATTACTTCCCTTTGCATTGGCGTCTGATAGGGAAGCTGCTGGGAGCTCGGCTTTTGCATACTTTTCCTTGTGTGCAGATTTTAACACAGGTTCATCTACCAAGAGGGCTGAAGTTACTTTGCATGGATGTTCCTTGCTTACAGTTTCATCATTCATCAGACTTCCAGTAGCTTGTTTCTGCAGGTCAGGAATCACATCTCCTGTCACAGAAATGTACTCTGAGAGAGCACTGGTTTTTAATGGAGTCTCAACAGTTTTATCAAACTGATTATTCTGCTTTGAACTGTCTCCCTTACTACAAAGCTTGTAAGGAACCACATCCTGTTTTCCAGCATTTCTGAGCAGCTTTCTTTTGGATAAAGGGCTTCTCTCCTTCAGCATCTCCATTTGCTTTTTTCTGTACTGCTCTCTCCTTTCATGAATTATCAGCTTATCAGGGTTGGTCTGCTGCAGCCGTAGCCTCACTGTATTTGTCAGCCCATACAAGAGTTTCCTTCTGGGAGGTCTGTTTTCCTTAGTTTTGCAGTTCCTTTCGAAGCCTGTCTCTCCCTGGGGTACAGCTTTCTTACGTTGTCTCCCAGCCTGAGAAGACCCTGGTGAGATGGGCTCTTGCTGGCCTTGCTTGAATGGAGGGCTGGCACCTCCACTGCTCCTACTTGGCCCCACAGGTGCCTCTGCAGGCTTGAGGGCAGAGGAGCGGCTGGGGCTGGGGGCCCGTGAGGCCATGCCACCAGCCCCTGGAGCCTGGTAGAGCCAGGCCAGGTGGGGGTGGACAGGGGCAGGCACAGCACTGCGGGTGAGCACCGACAGCTCTG